AAATATGTCGGATCACAAAGTTATCCATGTTCCCATAACAAATCTATACATCTGGGGGTACTGAATTGGAGATTGATATATCTCTGGTTCAGGTCAAAATTACGATCTGTAGATGAATGAATGGATTCATGAATGGGACAGCCCTATAAACTGGTATGGCGTATGGGTGAGGTAGAAGTCGAATTCTTGGCAATAGATGGCGCCACTGGAAAACAAGAACAATTGCACCCCCTTTGCCTTAATGGCCGACAACAACAACAACTAGCGTTTGTAAAATTTCGCTTCACTCTGACAAATCTTTCGCTAATTTTTATGACAATTTTTAAGCTAATTTATGGCAATTCGCTAATTTTTAAGGCAATGTGTAAATATACATATTTTTTATTTTTATGTTTTGTTAATTTTTTTAGAAAATCGTAACTTATAAGATAATCAGAGCGGCTGAGTCAGCTGGAAATACATGTAAAATTGACAAAACTGCCCATAATTAAATATGAGAAAAAGAAATTGTAAGCTATTTCTTTTTAATTAAAAACCACCTTCACATAGACAACGTCAAACATGTGTTTTGGAACATTTAAATATAACGGAATAAAAGCCTCTACGATAACTTGACATTTTCTATTCAATACTCAGAAACGTCAAATGAATTTTTAGCTTAATTTCTCTTTAAGAAAATACGAGACACGACAACATTTCCGTGACATCTGAGAAATACTTGCTCGTGAATAATTTTGTAACTGCTGATTTCCACACCAAGGTTATATCAATAAAGTTTCGCGTTTAATGTTAGAGTGTATTTCAGTTTATTTCTTTCGGCATTAAATCCTTAAAGATTTTATTAATGAACATCAATGTCATAAAAAAACAAACTTCTGTATGCATGAGCCAATGTATTAGAAACCTAAAGGAAATTTTAACGGTTGTTATTTTTAGAACAAGGACGTCAAAATAAAGGTAAATAATAAAATTATGGCGATGAATGAAATACATTTTATTTGTTTATAGGAAAAATTTGTGTAGTAATAAAAAGATGTTTAATACTTACTGGATTTATTTTTTAATGGCTACCTTTTTTATTTATCTATTCACTTAGATATTTTGAAGTGGGGTTATTTAATACACTGTAAAATATTTTGCTGTACAATTGCCGCTGTTTTTCGTGCTAAGGTAAACTAAAACTTTTACAGTGCATGTGGATACATTTTTTTATTTACTTTTTCACGGATAAATTTTTATTTATTTATTTGTTGAATTTTTGTTTGTTTGTTTATTGTCAACACATATTTTCATGCGCATTAAAATCAATTTATGGCTTTATTGAAAAACGTATTGGTCTAAAAACATTTTTTTCTAATATAAGCACATTTTTAGTAATATATTTGCACAAATAATTTTAAATATTTTTTGCCAATTACTATACACCAAAATTTTATCCTAACACCATAGTGAGAGTTTTCAACATAGTTTACAATATGGTAAGAGTCCATATTATAAACATATTTTTTTCAATAAATAAGGAATTTATAATGTGGATTAAATTTATCCTATTAAAAATTTTGTTAAGACATTAATAAATTCTAAAATATCAAAAGGCAATATTTTCCTGCCTTTTTACCTACATATTTTTTTAAATAATTTTTTTAATCTATTTTCTTTCATTATTTTACTTGCAGTTTATCATGATTTTTTTTAAAAATTAACATCCAGTCGCTTTTTCAATATCAAAAGAAACTGCTTTTTCTTCAATACCTAAACAGTTTTGAGGTTATAACCGAAAGACTTTATATTTTTATTCATATAGATTTTATAATTATACTTCCCAGCGTATATATATATATATATACAGGGAGCTGGACTCACGTTCTTCGAAAACGGGAGTTCAAATCCAGCCGGTCGAAGACTCCCCGTATAGTAAATGGTGACTGGTGCATGTTAAATNTGGAAAGAGTTGTTTTTAGAAATTACTTAATCGATAAGGCATAAAAATTAAAATCCCAGTGAAAGAATCTAGCTATCTGAGAATTTAGCCCAGCATGAGAAATAAAACTTCGCTGTTAATTTATTATTTTAATCCATATTTTTTCGAAATCGGAAAATAAATTTTTCATTGAACTCACAAAAAATAATTTTTTCAGTTTTTTTCTCCCTCTATTGTTCATCTATTTCTTTCATTAATTTTGGTTTTAAATATTGTTCTGCTTGTTGTTTTGATTATTTCATAGTAAATATTCAATACCAGTTGCCTTCAATGTTTGCTAAGTATGGTAATTTTTCTAAACAGCTGATCACTCAACTAATTGTCATGAATATTTAACTAACAATCTGCATAGTAGGGTAGAAATTCACCATATTTTACATATTTATTGGTACTTTTATCTCAACTCCAAACCATTAAAGCTATAAATTATAATAAATTATGCGAACAATACACTATCTACCATGTGAAAGTTATAAATGAGAGCATTAGTTATTCGGTTTACAGATTTGTTATTCCGTAAATTTTCACAAATTTTAATAACAATAAATGTACTTCATGCATAAAAGGAATTACTATCGGTTCATACTACGGCAATCTAGAAGCGGATAAATAATTATGTCCTAAGTGTTAAAAATAATCGATACATTTTAACTGAAAGCAAATGCAGTAGTGTTTTTTTTTAAATTTTACAGCTACGAAATTTACTAATTTTTTCAAAATCAATGTTAAAATTTGCATTACAACTTAACCATATAATTTTTCAATTTTTTTTAAAATGCTAAGAGAGTATAATGTTATTGTCTATGTCAAAAATATAGTGGAAAACTCAAAATTTTTCGTTTTGTTTTTGTAAGGAATGGGATGAAAAATGGTCCTATAGATTAAATAAATATCTATAATCCCATGAATATATCCTACAAGAAAAATAGGAAAATAAAATACTGTAGGAAAATATTCTATAGGAAAAATATCCGATAGGAAACGATTTTTTTTCTGTTACATGAGACACGTCACTGATTTCAAGTCTGCAATCGGTCTCTGTTTCCAAGCTGCAATTTTTTTTAAAATGACATTTTTAATCAATTTTTTGTTGAAATATACAAGTTTGAAAATCGTTATATATAACAGGGGGTCCGATTAACGTTGTGACAAACTTCTAGGGTATTTAGTTCATATCATCAGGATTAAAACTGCATAGGAATCCAGGCTCGGAAATGCCTCCCTTTAGATTTTAATGAAATTAGGTGTATTGGACAGGCACGATGGAATGCAAATGGATTCTCGATATTTCAAAATTGAAGGGAAGCTTAATTTTTTTTTACTCCCCTCCTAGCGGCGTATGACAACATTCTTTATTAAAACATAATAACGACATTTTAAAAATAAATAAGAAAAAGCGTAATAATTATAAGAAGAACTGAAAACATTAATATAACATAAATAATAACATAACATATTAATATAAGATAATTCATAATATAATGTAACATAATTCGTAACATAATATAACATAATTCATAGTATAATATAGCATAAATCATAATGTAATATAACATAATTTCAAATTCATATAAGCATAATTCATTAAAAATATGCTGAAATATATTAATATAACATTAAAATTTTAATATGAATATGATTAAATTGCCCCAAGTGTAGAGACAGTCTATAACATAACAGTTCAAAGTTGAACCAATATGTAGTATTTTGGGCCATAATAAGGAGAACAGTATCAGGCAAGTCAAAAGGTGATAATTTCAATTATTTTCGACAAAATAGAATTTTTTTCAATTGCGGAACAAACTATATCAATAAAATGGTTTAACTATACTCTTTACTACGGTTGTAGCAAATTTACGTGATACTATGCGCTGTTTAAAATTTTGGACCGTGTTAAACCACAACAGCGTTAAAATTCACTGCACATTTAATAAGGTGATCTATAGAACCTTACTATAGCGGTGAACGATAATTGCTTTAAATTTCATTGCAACTTTAATACGGTGCGAAATAGAACCTTATTATCCAAATGTTCATAATTGCTTTTAAATTTACTGTAACATAAAAAGGTGATCTATAGAACCTTATTAACCAGTTTAATCATAATAGCATTGAAAATAACTGTGACCTCAGTAAGGTGGTAAACTGAACCTTATAAAATGGTTGAAATATAATAGTAGTTAAACTCAGTGCAACCTTAATAGGGTGATCGGTGGAACCTTATTATCGCGTTGAATCATGCTAGCATTAATTTTCACTGCAACCTTCATAAGATGATAAATAGAACTTCCTTATCATGTTGAATCATAAAAACGAATAACGTTTAAATTCACTGCATCCTCAATAAGGTGATAAATTAAACCTTACTATCTTGTTTAACCATAATAGTGTTAAAACTCACTGCAATCTTAATTGAAAGATGAAAGGACCGTATTATTTCATTGAACCCTAGTAGCGGTAAATTCACAGCAACCTTAATAAGGTGATAAATAGAACCTTATCATCGTGCAATTAAGTCTTCCCTCAGCTTGATGCCATGAAATATTTTTTAGATAGCATATATGGTAGTCAGTATGACAGTGAGATAGGAAACACACTTGAGAAAGAATACGATTTTTTATATAGTCGTCCCTTATCTTGATTCCAAGATACTATGAATTAATTTCAACTGTTTTTTTTTCCTCGTGATCTCTTTCTCATTTCATTTCTCAGATCAACTTGTACCAATATTTTTAAAAATAAAATAAAGAGCTTCAAGTTTATTAAAACCATGAAATATTTTTTTCAGATAGCATATTTGGTGGTCAGTATGACAGTGAGAGAGAAAACAAACTTGAGAAAGAATACGATTTTTTATATAGTCTTCCTTTATCTTAGCAAGATACTATGAATTAACTTCAGTTGTTTTTTTCCTCATGATCTCTTTCTTATTTCATTTCTCAAATCAACTTGCACCAATATTTTTAAAAATAAAATAAAGAACTTCAAGTTTATAAAAACCATGAAATATTTTTTTCAGATAGCATATTTGGTGGTCAGTATGGCAGTGAGAGAGAAAACAGACTTGAGAAAGAATACGATTTATTACAGGAGAGAAAAAATCATATTGATCAAGCACATTTTAAATGGAAGCAAGCGGAAATAATGATAAAACAAGCTTGTGCTCAACTTGGATTGGCTGTTCAAAAATGGAAAGAGTTGTTGGAGATATCTGAAAAGTAAGTTAAAATATAAATAAACACCGAATTATTGTTATTTTTCTTCTTACAAAATTTCAAGGTATTTTTTAGGTTTATTTGAGGTGACAAGGTTGATTTGAGGTTTATTTAAAGTTGATGTCAAAAACAACCTTTAAAGATCAACCTCCCAGGGTGTATAATCAAAGTGTATGAAGTTGTTTTACTCCCACTTAAGGCTGATAGAAGCCTACTTTAGAGCAATAAGCTTAAGGTGGTTGCTTTTGAGGTGTAAGGATTATCTTTCTTTAATACACTCTTTAAGAAAATAAGTATATTTGAGGTGTGAATAATTCCCCCCAATCCAAACTAAAATTATTTCTGAGTTATATATATATATTTTTTTATTTAAACCATTGAAAACTCTTCTTGCACCACAAAGTATAGCATGAGGCTTACAGAAGTAAGTAGAAAGCAAAAACAAAAAAATTTACAAATTTACATTAAAAACAAAATTCCACAAGGCAGGAAGACTTTTGATACTTTTGAGCAGTTATGATAAAATAGGAGGCCAAAAAATAGAAAGACGCCCCAAATCAGTCTTTAATTTCAATCGGGCACTCGCATACAAATTGCAATGAAGAGGAATGTGCTCAGCATCTTCATCAGCATCGCCGTAAGCAGAAATTCCACTGGTCTCCAGATGGAAACGAAATAAATATTTCTTAAAATTTCCATGGTTTGTTAACATTTGGGTTAATTTAAAATCAGTTGCAACGAATTTACATTGCAAACGGTGAAAACTGGATGGAAGAACCTTTTCGTCCAATAAATGAGTGATTAGTCCCTGAGTTATATTTGAGGTTGATTTTGTAAGGCATAAATGAGATTGAAATTGAGGTTTATTGATTTTTTTTGGTACAAAATATAACCTAATTTTTTACCCCAAGTGTTATTTTTTTACATCTGTCAACCTCAAAACAACCTTAAAAACACCTTGCTTCTTTGTGAGGGGTGGTCTTTAGCATAAAAACCATCAATTTCATCGATTTAAAAATCATCTTCATAATAGACATCTCAATCGGGCATTCGATTTCGAGCAAATTTCGTTGGTTCTGTGTGTCCTAAAAGTGATCAAAGATTCAAAAAATCTTTGGAAGACTTTCTTTTTTTGAGAAAGACAGAAGAGCAAAGAAATGTATGGTCTGTTGCGTTCTGCTTAGGTGATTTCCAATATTTAAAATTAACTACAAATTTTGTCTACAGATGGCGCTGTTGACTGGAAAACTATAAAAATTGTCTTTGAGAATAAAATAAATGCCATTTTTAGTTTCAATGTGCTGCAATCTCAGGAATAAATTCACAGAAAACTGCGCTAGTATTTCAGTTGAAATAGTCTAAAAAGATTGTTTGAAAATATAGTTCTCTGAAGATAGCAGCACCATCTATTGATCGCGAAATTTTAAGCTTTGGGAGAATATAACTTGTTTTCTTAGGCGAAACTCGGCATATTTTACTATTCTGCAACTTTAAGTTGATTTTTTTTTTATTCATTTGAGTTTTTAAATTGTCGGTAATTTTGGAGACATTCGGTATTATTAAAAATATTTCAGATAAAGCTGTCCGATGCGAAAACGACTAAATTTTTTATCCGTCAATTTTGGTATGAAAATGAGAAAGCACTTGATAACTTTTCAAAATAATAATAATAATTCTGAAAAGATTTTTTTTTATATAGGGGAGAGGGGGGCACATGTGAACAATTTTTTTTATTTCTTCACTTTTCGAAAAATATCATCAATTTTTCATAGTAAAAAAGTCCATATGTNCTGCTGAGACAAGAAATAATTTAGTTGCTGCAAGTCAAAATCTACAGGGAGCTCATGGGTTTCTTACAAATATAACATTTCCGTATTGTGCAGAAGATGAAGTTGACACCCTAAATAAGGTATCTTTTGTTTTCAAATCAAATTTTATGGCTTTTTGCTTACCCTTTCTTTCTGCATTATAACGAAAGAATGACATTGTTGTTGATCTTTATTAAAAATAACGGGATGTCGACCAGATAAGGATTAGCCAGCTTAATTCGCGAGTTTGAATGTTGGAAAACAGCACTGCGAGATTTTAAAAGTAGGATTTTTTTATACATTTCTGCTGAATGCAAAATCGATTACATTTACGAAAATTTACAAGCTAAAAATCAAATAAATGACAAAGATATATTGTATTGAAGTACAGATGAGTTCGAGTCTTCAGTAACTTCATGCAGTGGTTTATTCAATAATAATAATAATATTGGTAGTAGTAGTAGTCATGGTTGTAGTAGTCGTAGTTACAGTATTCATAGTTGTAGTAGTAGAAGCAGTTTCAAACTTTATAATTTCCGAAAATTTCAAATAGTTTATTAATAAATTTAACCTCTTGCAAATAGCATATATACTTCAAGTTCACAACTAATGTATTTCAAGTTCGAGATTTTGATTCTTTGTTAAAATTTTGTGAAATTAGCCCTAATTCTTTATGCATAACAAAAAAAACTTGTTTACTCTTTTTTGAAACAAAAAATACTCACATAATGATGCTTCTTTTAACGAAAAAAAATCTTTCGTGTAACATAATATCAACATTATTAAATTTTGAAATTAATTGGGAGGAAGCTAAGGAAGTTATCGACTCCATCCATCGTATTATCCTTCAGTTTCAAATATTTTCTACGTATTTAAAGTGAATTAAAGGCTCTAGAATGATGTAAAAATAAATATTTGGATTTTTGTTATCATTAAATGATAAATAAATTTATTCTGAAAAAAAAAAGCTTTCTTAAAGTGTCAATGCACAGTTTAACAGTGATAGTTATTTTTTGATTATGTAATTTTGATTATTCAAACTTCATTTAACTTATCTCAAACTTATGCGTGGTTCATTAATTTCAAAGTGAGTTTCCAAGTTTCATGTTTGTTTTAATATTATATTTTAGTATGATAAATATTGCAATAAAAATTTCTTTCTGTAAAATACTCTACTTTCCAGTTGTTAGATTATATCACAAAAAAATAACTTGCCTTTTCTGCTTTTAAAATTTATATTTTTCAACAAACTATCCCATTAGTATTTGAAGAAAGTTTTATGTTGTACAAATAAATCATTAGATACAAAGTTTCTATTGAGAATTTTCTGACTCTAGTTAGCGGAATAATTCTACAAAAAGAAACTTATTGCACTATAATAAATCTTAGGTAAAGGGAATCTTTTTCAAAAGTTCGCGAACTTTATTCTATTTTTTTAAACTTTTGTACAATTAAATGAACTTACCTTAGAAAACTAGAGAAAAATTTTAAATTAATCTTCAGACAAACTGTTTCTGAAAATCCCTTTCAGCATTTAAGAAAAAAGCAGTTTCTTTTGTAAATGGTTATTATTATTGCTATTATTATTATTGCTATTATTATTATTATTATTATTANTTTATTTAAATTAAATAATACAAATTATATTTCAACACCCTAGAACGAAACAAGCTTCTAAATAATAAAATAAACACTTTATGATACTACACTGTTAACCCCTTCATTGTTGCTCCCGTGAAAATGACAGGGTGAGGTTTCGCCCTCTATTTCTCGCTCCCGTGAAATTTCCGGGATGGAGTGTTCAGTAGAAACGCGCCAGTAAGAAGAACAAGAATAAAACTAATTCATTTTCTTTTGCCCGGAAAATATTTTATTTCTCATTTTACTCACCAGATGACAGTATCAGGATATTTTTAAGGTAATTGTAGATAGTTAGTTTATTTTAAACTAGATGTCAGCACTAATCAAATACGTGTATTAGACAAAATAGGCACTTTTACGACAGTTTTCTTGAAAATAAACCAATCGTTAAGGGGTAATAGAAAAAATGCTCGCTGGTTTTTCGGAATTTCTCCAGATATTAAACGGTTTAGTGACAGTTAAAAACAGAGAAAAACCGTTTTGTTGACAAAACGGTTTTGCTGTATTTTTCGCCCTAATCACAAACGGATTAAAAGAGTCAGCTGTTCAAGTTCTAGTTTTGCCATGCAGATTTGCATTCCGTTATATAACTTTATCTTCTCTCCAATTATTTTACGATTACATTCTGTACTTGCTCTCGTTTTTCAGAAATTATTTTTTGGCTTTGTACATCATATAAATAAAATTGCGATTTGACGATATTATCAAATTGATATAATATTGAAGCGAAATTCTCACTATCACTATTTCTCCATAATAAAGCACTTGATTCGCAGTGGCTCAGGGAACAGAGCTCGCGCTTCTCGATGACCCAGGTTTGAATCCCAGCAATGATTGGTCGATACAAATCCTGCTGACGTGAAATATTCCCGTCTGGTGCGAGTACAGATTTAATTTTCAACATTCACGGAAAAAACTTGTTCCCATATAGGAAAAGTCTGTTGAGACAACAGATTTACTTTTGTTGGCAAAACTCGTTTTGTTGCTGTAAAAAGCCAGTCTGATTACGGATGATAATCGTATCAGTCTGATTATCGTTGAGGCAACAGATTTACTTTGTAAAATTAATGGTTTTGCAGTACCAACCCTGCTGCTGGTCAAAAACTGCAAAACTTATGTGATTTCTATTACCCCTTAACGATTGGTTTATTTTCAATAAAACTGTCGTAAAAGTGCCTATTTTGCCTAATACACGTATTTGATTAGTGCTGACTTCTAGTTTAAAATAAACTAACTATCTATAATTACCTTAAAAATATCCCGATACTGCCATCTGGTGAGTAAAATCAGAAATAAAATATTTTCCGGGCGAAAGAAAATGAATTAGTTTTATTCTTATTCTTCTTAATGGAGCGTTTCTACTGAACACTCCATCCCGGAAATTTCACGGGAGCGAGAAATAGAGGGCGAAACCTCACCCTGTCATTTTCACGGGAGCGACAATGAAGGGGTTAACAGTGTAGTATCATAAAGTGTTTATTTTATTATTTAGAAGCTTGTTTCGTTCTAGGGTGTTGAAATATAATTTGTATTATTTAATTTAAATAAATCAAGTGAGTAGAATATGTCCAAACTTTGAACCAAAAAGATTTCCCGGTTTTGTTGAAACGATTTACCTCTTTCTAAACAGAATTTTTTTTAAAAATCTTTTTCTAGCTGTTATCCAATTTTAAATAAATAATAATTATTGCATTTAAATTTTATTGTTTTTCCTGTGCTATTATAAAATAAGAACATAGATTGCGAAAAAGTGAAATTAATCTAAAATCAATAAATTGTTCCCAGACTACCAAAATTATTTTATATTGTTTCTACGCCCTGTGATAGTTCGAACCAAGTATGAAAGATGTTACAGGTAGGATCTGATTTTAAAATTCAGAAATTGTAATTACACAACTGCCAAGGGGTACCACAAATCGTAATCTTGTACCAAACGTTACATCCCTTCATTGTATACAAAAGGCTTTTGAGTCTCATATAATATAAGAGATTTATTGTCCTGCGCCGAGTTTCAGGCCAAATGATGTATTAGGCACTGTTTTATGGACATGGCTTACCATTGCTTATTAGTTCCATACATTATGTTAAAATCATTCTGAATTATTAAAATGATAAGGCATCATTATATGATTAGAACACGTAACTACCTAGTAATCACGATAGAAATACGCAATTATCCAATAAATATGATTAGAATAACTATTTTATTATGTGTTATGTTTTTAAACTGCTGTTGCGCGTTTCTTAATGTGCATAATAAACTTCGTTTGCTTTCAGTAGTTTCTGATTGTAAAAATTAGCTTGTTACAATATAATTTGCTTTTCTTAATAAGAATTAGGCATAAAAAGTTGGTTTATCTTAATTAAGCTTGTTTATTTCAGTATTATTGGGCGTTAAAACTTGTTAGATAATTCTCATTTAACTTTTAATCTAAACGCGTTTAACATAGCAAGAGAAAACCAGCGCCTAAAATTACATGCTTAATTAAAGTACTTTAAAAATATTTAATTTGTTGCTAGTTGAACGAAAAATTCTATAATTTCGTTGCGAGAGCTCGTAAAAATCTTTTAAGTAGCACAAGTGGTTTCACGCAACTTTTGCTGGTTAATTCTGTACTGTAAAAACTATGCTGAATATCTCGCCAAATATGATGCTAACCAACACAAAAAATTGTATGAAGAAACATTATTTTTCAGGTTAACACCAAATTGAGTTTTCTTACACATTTTGAACAATTTAAAGGGCATAATCGAAATCTAAACACTTTTAATTGAATAAGCTTACACTAAAAGCACGCCCATTTACACCAAACGAGAATCATTTTCACTTCCGAAAATGCCAATATTGGCAAGCTTTGAATATTTCTTGTAGATTGTTACATTTAAATGCAAGCTGCAGCGAGTTAGTGGAAGTTTTCGACATTGCGATACAGAAATCGAAATAAAAGGTTGCCGTTAAACTATCTGTGTAGGTTTTTAGTTATGTAATATGGATAATTATAGTTTAATTTTTAAATCTCTGTGAAATTTAATAATTTATTTTATCATGTATAACTTCTATCCGTTTCTGCTCTGTTAAGCCTAGTTAGAATTAATGTCAAGATTCTCACTGTGTACGTGTATTTTTGATTTACAAACTAATTTTATTTTAAGAATTAATGTACGAATTCAAAGTTAATTATTCTTATTTTATTTGAATCTTAAAAATAACTTAACTGACTTTTAAGTGTATTTTATCTTACTTTTATTACGAATTTTAGTGCTACTGAATGCAAAAGAAGAAAAAAAATGGTTACGGTTACTTTACACTTAGTACTGTATAAGAGCATTCTAGGACACACTTTGGTGCAAAGTAGTTGCTACCATATTTGATGTTAAGATCATACAGGGAACGTTACTTTTAAAAGGTAACAAATAAAACTACTAGTACAAAACAAAAAGCAACCATTTTAAAGTACTC